TAGAAAGGATGGTGGCCAGTTCCTGGGGCTGGGTATTTAGTCATGCTAAGAAGTGAGGGCTAGTTTTTAGTTACATTAATGGCACTGCAATTTTGATTAGGAAAAAAAGGTTATTCTTTCAAAGATATTTACTGAGATTAAATAATATTTATGGATTAAATGATATGACTGAGACTTCAGAATGAACTGGGGAACAATGGACCAGTGTGGAGGATGGTGGTGGATGCAGTGTGGTAGCATACATCTGAAGAGGTGCCAATCTGTGCCCCCAAATCACATACAGCACTATAAGTCAAGATTCCTCAAAAGAAAGCAGAATTTAAGAAAACAGAAAGGCAAAGTAACTAAACTGGGGCGAAGGGGAAATGAGGAAAAAGTTTCTTTTGCGATTTATTTGCTGAAGCTTGGTGTGGGCACACACGGGCACATGGTATATTCTCGAAACCTTTGTATATGTTTGAAATTTTCATGATAAATACCTAGATAGGAAAGGGGGGATAAAGGGAAAAGAGAGGGAGGGAAGAAAGAAAGAAGGGAATGAAGAGAGAACATTCTGGGTGTATTCCAGGGTGTTGTCCCATGGCCTTGAGCATGTCACCCCCTTCCTCAAATATAAACTGGGGAGATGGGCAGATGACTCCCAGGTATCAGCGAGCTGTCACAGTCCACGGCTTGAAGAAAGCCTACTCATCTGTGTGTCTTCTTCTCCTCCACTGGCCCCTGATCTCATATGTTCCAAGTATCTTGGCATTTTTCTGGGGAGGACAAAGTAGCAGATGCTGAAAGTGGCCAAAGGTTAAGCCACTGAGCGATTTTTTTTGAAGCAAATCAAAAGTAGGTCTCTATTGATATTCAAGAGACCTTTGATCTGCATAGCTCCCAGCACTGCAGGAGCCTTCAGAGACGTAAATAAGTCTTTGCAAATGTTTTTAATAGCCTAATAAAAAGCAAGTCAATTCCCCATGCCCCTCACAGAAAGACATGCGCCTCCTGTTAGCCCTCTACTGGTAGACAATGTAAGAAACATTAGATAGCAGGTTAAATTGGGTCTTGCTATGCAAATTCATAATGCAAACAAAAAGGTAACGGACAGTTCAGGGGAAGAAAGCAGATTACTTAAGTGTCAGAGATAGAAGGATTTGGGTAATTATTACATTCTCACATTCTCGAATCTAACAAGCTCAGAGAGGTAGGGCTGACCTCCTGGTCGCACAGCACATTAGCTGGGTGCTAATTCTGAGTCCCTGGGTTCCCTGAGACCCAGGACTTCCTTGATCTGGACCGGTAGCTAGGATCAGGGACAAGTCTAAGAACTTAACACTTAGCACTAAATAGAGTCCTATTCGCAGAGTTGTTATTCAGGGTCAATTTCAGAGGGCACAAATCTTCCTTTAGTGAATGTTACAAAAATCTTCTCCAATGCCATTCATCAACTTGTACAGAGCAACAAAGTCCAGAGACAGCGACCCACCATTCCCCTAGACTTCAAGTGCCCCTAATGCCTCCACACAAAGGGATGAGTTTAGGCACCTACACCAAGCATCTGTGATCGAGTATCTCTGGCAAAAAAAATAAAAACTAAAAAATAAGACAAATCAGGAAGAACAAGAAAAGTCATGAAGTCTTCCTGTCTGGGCAGCAATAACCTCCCCAACTGCTCCCCCCCAAGACACACAGAAGGAATAAAACAAAGGGTTGGAGTTCCTGTGACTGAAGAAGGGGGGGGGGGCATGAGGGTGGGGGAGTAAGGAAAGCAAGTCCCAGCAGTGTCTGCATGGGGATCCGTCCAGATGTATCCTACAACCAGAACTGCACCCCACAGACCTCACAGGCCAAACTCCAAAGGGCTCGGCGGCCCCCTCCTCCTGAAGCCTTCATGGACATGAACCATGAACCACGTTGGCTTTTTACCTCTCCTCAGCCTAGGCCGCACCCGCCTGTCCAATTCCTGGGAGCTGTGGGGGTGCCCTTCATAGACAGATTCAGGAAAAGCAGTCCGGGTTTTGCCTGAACAATCTCCATGGGGGTCTGGCTGAGGAGGGAGACCTGGAGGGCAAGGTCCTGGCGTCCGCCCGCAGGCTTCCCGCCCACCATGCAGAGCTGCAGCTGGAGAAGATAAAACACACCTGAGGACGTGGAAGACCAGCTCACGGGGCTGAGGGGTCGGCCAAGGCAGTCCAAAGCATTAAAAGCTCAAACTCCCCCCAGGGGTCTGGTCCCACTCAAATGAACCTCAAGACTCAGCCCTGCTCCACACACACAGGAAGCGCAGAGTTGGGCTGGAGTGAGGGACCCCTTCTTCCTCCGCCTTGGGGCCCCCATCCGGCGGCCCCCACATATGTGTGGGCGGTCAGCTGCGCCCTCCACTAGCCTCAAGAAGGACACTGCCGTCCCACGTGGGAACAGACCCGGGCTACTTGCGTCCATGCTGGAAAAGCGAAGCGAGGCCCCTCAGGATGCCTGGAGCCCGGCGTGCGGCACAGGTTTGAGGAGAAACGAGAAAGTTCTCCGGGAGACAGCCCAGCTGGCCAGGCCCAGCGGGAAGCTGCACCTCCACTCTCCCCACAGTGTCGGTCCTCACGCACCCACCTCCCCGCCCACCACACCGCGGAGGCAGAAACACGCCCCCTGCCGGACTCTCGGGGAACCTCACGGCAGAAGGCTCTGGGG